CTAGAAACTCCTGTTGGGGCTTGACTTTTAAAACACTGATGCAAAATTGTCTGGTAGTTAGCAATCTGTATGTATTGAATGTTATTGCTTATTGAATGTAATGATGACCACAAATAGAACACATTAGTTTGCTAAAAGGTTTTTGCAGTGTATATTTATTTGTTACTAGACGCACCTGGAAGTTGGGAACCCTACTTTGGAGAGTCCTCTCAGTAGCCTCATTTAACCAATCGGCTCCAAACTGCTGCTAATTTTTGTCCTGCTTTACTCACTTTCTTGTCCCCTCCCCCATTGATGTTAACTGTTATTGTTGTTAGCCATTCAGTCATGTCCAACTCTTGGAGATTCTATGTGCCAGCTTTCTCCATGTTTTCCGGTCTTGTACTGTTTCTTTGAGTTGTTCCATACACAGGTTGCTGCCAACTTTTATGGTGTCTAGCCACCGTGTTCTTTGGCGGTCCGGTTTCCTTTTGCCGCTTTTTCTAGTGAGTTCTTCCACATGACATGGCCGAAATAAGTCAGTTGCAGTTTTATGATTTTTCCTTCCAAAGACATGTCTGGTTTTATGTGCTGCAATACTTGCTTCTTTGCCACCTTTGCTGTCCAAGGATTAACTGAACTTTTCCTAAATATGTCTTCTCTGGACTAGGAAAGAGCAACATTCATTAGAGTAGAACAAAGCTTGAGTCCAGTGGCACCTTTAAGACCAACAAAGTCTTATTCAAGGTATGAGCTTTTGTGTGCGAGGCACACTTCCTCAGATATTCATTGTATCTGAAGAAAGTACAATTGATCTGGGGAACTGTGCGTGCATATGAAAGCTCATACCTTGAATAAAACTTTGTTGGACTCCAACTTTGTTCTACTGCTTCAGACCAACACAGTGCCTACCTGGATCTATATTCATTAGAGTAGTGCCTCTTGATATTGAAAGTAAGACACGGCCCCTGTGAGTCTATCAAGCTCTGTGCTACCCCTGTGAGACTACTGGGCCTTTTCCTGCCCTTAGTTATGAATCTACTCATTCCCTTCCCAACTAATCTCTCCCATAAGCCTTACCTCTGTCCTTTCTACAGCCTGGCATATGTTTTTTTTAAAATTAATCTCCTACTTTCATCTCCACTGCTGTTCTGATGGTGGTGCCTCTTTCTTCTGTCTGACTCTCTGAGGATGCAGTCTAACTAAATAGCTAGTCCTGATGATGAAGAAAAAGTGGGAGAGGAAGCCATATATCTGCGGCCCTTGGCAACATGAAACTTTTTATATTTTGGCACTCTGGTTGTTTCTGCCCTGGAATATAACCAACCTTAGCTCCTATGCTTGTCTTAACATGAGAAGTACCAAGACCATTTTTCTTGATTACACAGTTTGGATTAGGTATGGGCATGAGTCAGGAAAATGCAGTTTGGTTCGTGGTGGGTCTGGTTCGTGAACCACGAACTGTCATTAACTTTTAAGAGCGAAACAAACTGGTTCGTGACATCATAAATGGCACCCTGGTGTGCTAGAGACACCAAACTTGTATGGGATTTCTAGCTGACTCTCCTTTACCTGCCCTCCAAGTTTGGTGATGATTGGATTTATGGGGTATGAGTTATGCCCCCCCCCAAAGAAGGTGCAGATGGAGGGAGAGACAACAAAGTGTATGCCTCCTGGCCCAATGTCAGCTGCTTGCTCATCGCAAAGATGATTAGTGTAGGATTATTCTTGAGCAGCTGGTTGCAAGCATGACCCTTCAAGCATATGGCTATAAAAACCAGCCAAGGGAGGCTGTTAGTCATGGAAGCAACAAGTTGAAATCCCTCTGACACTGCGACCGCTGTACCAGATCCTGCCTTGTTTCTGTGACTCTTTGGACCATACCGGGATGCTGCTTTCATCTCACCCTTGAACCTGCTGGTAGATAACTCTTGGATTTCCAGACCTTGCTGTATGGCTTGGCCCTTGGACCAGAATACTGACAGCTCTTGACTCTGTGCTTTGACCTTGGGCTGGACCTTGACTATGCTGCTTGAGTTGGTGCCCTTGCCTTACTCATCCCATGCTTTGACAGTGTGTCCCATGCCACCCCCAGCCCGGCTCCCAACAGCTTTCTAGGGAAATGATGGACACAGGTTCAAGAGGTTCAGAAGTGTATACAATGGATATTGTATAAGCTAGAGATACCAAACTCACAACGGTTTTCCAGCTGACATTCCTCTACCTGCCCTCCAGGTTTGGTGGGGATTGGATTTATGGAACACAAGTTACAGGCCCCCAAAGAAGGTGCCCCCAGGAAAGTGCTTTCTGAGGAAATGACAAATGTGGGTACAGGAGGTTCAGGAGTATATAGAATGGATACCCATGGAGGAGCAGAAGAGTTCTGGGGCTGGAATGACAAGCAGTCAAGCCCCTTTGGGGGCTGTCATTCTAGCCCCAGAATACTTCTGGTATGACCAAAGGCCGTCAATCCACCCGGGGAGCTGACATTCCAGCTTGAGAACACTTCTGCTACTCCCATGGTCTGTTGATCTACTTTGGGGGCTGTCATTTCTGTCTCAGAAGACCTCTACTACTCCCAGTGGCTGTCATTCCACTCTGAAGGCTGTCATTCCAGTCCTAGAACACCTCTGGTACTCCCAGTAGCTGTCACTCAACTCCAGGGGCTGTCATTCCAGTCCCAGTACACTTCTGCTATGCCCAGAGGTTGTCATTCCACTTTGGAGTTTGTCACTCCAGCCCCTGAACACTTCTGCTAATCCCAGAGGCTGTCATTGCACTCTGTAACCAGTCATTCTTGTCTACTCTGCAGGCTTTCATTCTAGTCCCAGAACACTTCTGCTATGACCTACAGGCTGTCAATATACTCTGGGAGCTGTCATTCCAGTTGTAGAAAACTTCTGCTATTCCCAAGGGCCATTATTCTACTTTGCAACCTGTCATTCCAGCCCCAGTAGACTTCTCCTACTCTCAGGGGACCCTGTTCAGGTCTGGGGGCTATCATTCCAGCCCCTGAACACTTCTGCTACTCCCAGAGGCTGTCATTCCCATCTGAGGGCTGTCATTCCATTCCTAGAACACTTCTGCTACTCCCAGGGGCTGTCATTTCACTTGGGGGGCTGTCATTCCAGTCCCAAAGCATGAATTCTATTTCTGGGTACCAGTATTCCACTCTGGGGCCTGTTATCCCAGTCTCACAGCAGTTTATCTGGGCCCAGGGACATTAATTGAATATCCACTCCACATTTTCATTGCAAGTATTTTCTGCTGTAAAGTATTTCAATGGAGTCTATGCAAGCTAATTGGCTCCCGTTATCTCTAATGGGTCTTCAAGCCTCTCTCATTGTTTCCAATGGGCAATCCTTTCATTCCTTTTAGTACACTCCCCTGCAGAACCAGTATAATTTACTAATAATCAGCAGAACCCCGTGACATTGTGGCAATGCCAGCTTAACAGGACTGATGTGAAGCACAGAATCACACTCCAAGCGGGGGGCGGTGTTTGCAAGCCCAGCAGAACCAGCGCAATGTACCAGTGCTCATCAGAACCCAGTGCCATTGTGACAATGCAAGCTCAACAGGAGTGATGTGAATCACAGAATAACACTCCAAGCAGGTGATGGGGAGGGGTCGCAAGCCCAGGAGAACCAGTGCAATGTACTAGTGCCTAGCAGAATCTAGTTGTATTGGTGCAGCCCTCCCAGGATCAGCAGGGCTGGTTACAAGCAAGGTTTCAAAGAGTAAGCAGGGTCCAGTCCAAAAATCAGGAGTTCCAGAGAGCAGGTATGTCAAGTCCAGTTTAAGGTCAAGGGATACAGGCAGCAAGTCCAAGTACAGTCCAGGGTCAGAGGTTCCAGAAAAGCCAATAGTCAGGTTCAGTCCAAGGGTCAAGGTTCCAGTGGTCCAGTGACAGCAAGGCCAGTGGTTCAGTAGCAATGTATACTTGTTGCATCCACAAAACTGCTGCTTCTCCTGGATGATTTTATAGTCAAGTCTTAATGAGCTACACTCCCAGCCAATTCCTTGGCAGCCATCCTGAAACTACTCATCCATCTTGTCAGTTGACAACTGACGACAGGCCATGAAGACCCTCCTTCTCCTTTCCTGCAACTCTGTGCACCTCTGACAGCATCCGTGTGGGTGAGCTAGGTGGGCTGGGACAAGCCCACTTTACTGCTTCAGAGCTACAAGGCAATTACTCAGTTTCAGCTGTAGGCTGTGATCTGATCAACTGGTAACCTGACCAGTTGTTGCTCTCCTCCTGACTCAGAGCCAGCTACAGGCAGTTCTTTGTCTGAGGAATCTATGCCATTACTGAGCATAGACTGACTTATAACACCAGTACCACTGTGGTAATGCAAGCAAAAATAGGACTAATGTCAAATCAGAGAATCCTTGCAGTTACATTGTGAAGAATGCCCAGTAGACTCCAGTGACACTGGCATTGCAAGCTTAAAAGGACTGCTGTCAAAGCACAGGGTCACACAAAATCCAAGCAAGGGGGCTGATTTTGCAAGTTCTGTGCAAGAAAATGGGGAAGGAAACACAGGAAGGCTGGCAAAGGGGGAAAAAATCTTGAAACTGACATGACTCATTTGAAATTGACCACAGTGTTTCCAAGGCTGGAGGATTCTTCCTCCCTGTTGTTTTGAAGTTTGGTAAACATTTTGATTTAGCAGAGACAGTCTATCTGGAACCAACATGAACTGGCACAAATCTCCACAAACAGCTTGAAAGTTCATTGAAAATTCGTGCCAGTTGACCGGTCAGGAATGTCACTTCATGAACCACGAATCATCCAAAGTTTGTCACAAACTTTAGTTTGTGAGCCAATTCATGGCCATCCCTAGTTTGGATTCCTATGACTGAAGGAGACACACATTCCTAGTGGATTATTACTTGGGATATATGTATTATAGTGATCTTCTGTGGTCATTTAAATAAGCAATGCTTAGAACTTTCATCCCTGTCCCAAAGCAATTGATCCAAGCAAGGGATTCAATGTGGTAGAGCTCACTTACCAAGTTGTCTTCATCATCTAAATCATCGCATTCAGGAGGCAGATCTCCCAAATGAAGCTGTTGTATCAGAACCCTTGCAGATGTTTTGCCATTGCAGTCTTGGTGCTCTGATGCAGAGGTCTGGCTGCTGTGCATGCTGCTGGTCCGGTAAAGAGAAGGCACCTGCAAAGAATCTTGGAAGTCAAAGGAGCCTTTGGTTTCCAATGACTGCATGCGGTGAGGTATAGAGCCATTAATGCTCCCAGTCTGGCTGGACCTCTCTTCATCAGAACTTCCCCCTTCCTCTGAACTCTGCTTTCCATCCCCTGACAGAAGAGACTTGCGTTCTCCACTTTGATTTCGGCGTTTCAGGCTGGGAGCTCTCCCAATGCTGTTCCAGCTCGACCTGCGGCTGTTCCAGCTACTGCCTGCACTCCAATGACTATGTGGAGAACTCCGGGTGCTCATCTGAGGTGAAACAGAAAAAAACATAAAGAGAATCAACTGAAGGTCAGAATTAATCACCACTGTGGCCAGCACTCAATAGCAAGGCTTAGGTTGCGATCACACGAGCCAGAAAAAATGGGGAGGGGGGGGAGTGAGGCTATTTCCTCCAGAGGAATTTGACCCACAGTTGCACGATCACACCTCCCTTTGAAGCTGCAGGTGCAGTCTGTCAGTGCGTGATCAGATGCAACTGCGGGTGAGTCTCTCTTTTTGTGCCATTTCCCCCCATGCACTTAATTGAGGGATCGATGAATCGCACCTCCACACTGAGGGCTCCCTATGGAGTTTGTGATGATGCGCATACTGTGAAGGGGAAAAAAACCAACGGCACGGAGTCGGGATAGCCTGATCAGACCATCCTGATACCATGAGAGCACGCTGGAGCGATCAGACATGGGAAAGTCCGTCTGTGTCCCGTTGCAACCCGTTAACTACCAGATTTCCCCCAATGTCTTTTAACTCCACTTCTGCGGTGGAGTAGAACGGGTTGCCGACAGGTGTGGGGCACTTCCCAGATGTTCTTGTCTGATCGCGCCCTTTAAATCTGCCCGGCATTCACACCTATGTCGGTGTGTATGATCACAGCCTTAGAGACATCTAATTGGTGGCAATAGCACAAAAACCAGAAGGCGAATGCATAGGTTTGTCACACAGCTGACAAACAACTGTAAAGATAAGAAGTCAGAAGAAAAAAGACAAAGCAACATACCGGGGATTTGAGATCATATGCATTAGGATCCATGGAGATGCTGCTAGCTCTTCGGGAATCATAACCCTGAGCTGCTTCTCCATACATGGCACTTTTTGGCATGGGCATTGGTGTAGCAGCTGTATGAATGATGAGCGGAGGGGTCAAGCTCTTCTTTAGCTCTGGGTGGTCACAAAGAGCCATCACTAAGGAAGACAAAGTACATTTAGGTCATCGCTTGTAGACAGGAACATATGATCTCCATGGAGCCATGACAGCTGCCATCTTTGCTCTAAGCTTCTTCTCTCACAGAGCTTTTCCTCAATATTTCTACAACTCTATGAGCTTCACAGATCTTTGTTGTTACTGTCTGCTGATTTCATTCCCTCTAATTTCCCTATGAGAACTTCTCTTGTCCTGCTTATCCCATTCACATTTAGATATACCAACAAGATCAGTCTGCTTTCTGTCTTTTGCAGATCTCCTGTAACAATGGCATCCTTAAAAAATGAAGCAACTTTGGCAGGGAGATGGATATCATGTATAAGGATATTCATCTTTTTTCTTACCCTTTGAACAGGGAAGGTGACTGACCCCGGCACCACAGTGTGATTTTTTCCCTGTTATCCAGTAACCTGTAAATCATATTTGAAATCTGTCCTGGACTGACCCCGCCCCCCAAGCCATTATTATTGTTATGATGATCCAATAAGGACTTTATTCACTGCAATCCTTCCCTGATTTTGTCTAAACTTAAATCACTTTTTTTTTGTTAGACTATTCTGGAGTTAGGCATTCAAAGAAAGCAATCTCTGTTTTTCAGACTAAAGTGGGAAAAAACACGCTTATCCTTGAAAGAATATCCACCACTGTTGTTGTCACTTACTGGCTGGATTTGAAAAGTTTTTCTTAAGTCCACATTCTTCTTCCAAACTACGTGGGAAAAGCTCCCCATCAGAATCAGACTTAGAGGCATCACCCTAGAGCAAAATAAAGTGCCTTAACGAGCAGAATGAAATGCTGAAAGTTAGTTCAGAATCCCACTCCTAGATAAAATGGTCCTTTCCTTGGCAAGATATCCACTGAAATGTTAGCATAATGGGACACCACCTTTCACAAAATGATGCATGCATAAATTTATACCACACCAAGTCACTAAGCAGTACTTGTTCACAAAGGGCAGAGAGGCAAGAGGTGATTCAAAGGCAGCTAAAATACTGAGGATCTGAATGAGACTGGGAAAAAATCAACTACCTAATGATGGGATCTTACACTGAACTATACTTAAATCATGTTAAAAAAATCCCCCTTCTAACTTACTAGGAGCTCCTAATGTATGTATCTTCCCAGACCCCCCATAACTCTTCCTGTTGGAAGTAGACATAAAATAGACTGAATTTTAGTGGAGAACGAAAATTGCATCTTTCAGATCTTATTGGATAAATGGGAATATCAGTGTTTAAGAAGTCTAGAAGCTTTAGTCAATAGGCAGCCTCTTATTAGCCTACTCAGTGTAGATTTTTAACCAGGTATGATCAATGTATTCACTGTATAAAGTCATCTATCTGAATTGTTGGAAGGAACAAGACACATGCCATTTAGATAATCAAATAGATTTGGAGAAACAGAAGAGGTATTCCACAGCACTTACACAGGATGACATGGGGGACAGAATGTGAAATCAGACTATTTGGATAACTTAGCAGTGGATCTTTTTAAAAACCATACTGGCAACTCATTTACTATAGTAGTAGCTAACCAAAGATTTCCCTTTTTAGGAAGGAAGCCTCATTAATTTTATGTTAAATAATTCACTTGGTCAAAAGCTTCTAGCATTTCCTTCACTGACAAGTTTCTTAGGTCATCCTTTGTTAACAACAGTCCTTCAACACCTTCCTGTTTGCTCCTCTGATACAATCCATTGGCACGTATTTGTGGAGGGCAGTCAGGGGGAGTAATAAGACTGAGTTATAATTTTATTTATTTATTTCGATTTCTTAACCACTCTTCTCCACTTTTGCGGGGCTCAGGGTGGTTTACAACAGCATAATCAGCTGGGAATGGAGTTTTCCAGAATTATTCATTTTATTTCCTGCAAAAGTTCATAATTCTGGCAAAAAGTGGTTTCCATCGTTTGATAAATGTTGAGGAGAAAGGGAAAAGGAATTTGATGCAGTGATTGCAGAGAAGTGAAGCAAAAAAAAATTTAGCTGGAATATTAGGAAAGTAAGGCCACAATCCAGAAAAGTATACCACAAAAGTTGCTGTATTAGACTCAACCCGATGACATTTGGTGCTTCAGCAAAATACATTTGATTGGAAAAACAGAATGGAGGTTAGCTAGGAGGATAAACATCAATGTGAGTTTGCTTGATTAAAGAGTATATGGCTTTATTTTGTCTAATTATGAGTGTTTTTATTTACATAGATTAGTTCCCCTTATATTTTCTCTCCAGTCAAGCTGTGAACCTTTTCAAAGTCAGTTCTTTATTAAACCACAGCGTATACAAAACTATATAGTCCTGCATCTGTACATATGGCTTGTTTTATGTTGTTTTATTATTTTATTATATTATTTGCTTATGGACCATCTCAAGAATGCCTCTGGATAGGCCTTATATATTCATAAATATATATATATATAAATTTCTTAACCACCCTTCCCCGCTTTCGCAGGGCTCAGGGCAGTTTACAACAGCATAATCAACTGGGAATGGAGTTTTCCAGAATTATTCATTTTATTTCTTGCAAATGATCATAACTCTGGCAAAAAAATGGTTTCCATCAAGTTTGATGAATGTCCTTCTAGCAGGACCTCAGCCTATTCAGAGGCCTTCAAGCAATCACAGGTGGTGGTGTTTTAAAGAAACACACTTCTGAAGATGGACTGTTCCATTAAGAATGACGAACAGCGTCAAGCCATCTTCTCTCATTTGAAACATTCCTTACAGATGTGCTGGAAAGTACTGGCTTCCTCTTAGATGCCAGTAGTACTAAAAACAGGCCTAGAAGTACTAATTCATTAATCTCTGTAATTAGTGAAATATTTCATTAAGAGTTTGTACAGGTTGTACCACAGTTTTCTGGAAAATAAGAGGCATAAAATAAGTAAGGATAAGGTAAAATTTCTTATTAGACCAATGCCTGTTAATTTGAGCCTAGAAGCATCCCATCTTTCACAATCATCAGATTTCTATACTGACAGAGTTTGGTCCATTAGAAAAACTATTACCTTACCTCTTTTATATAATTTAAAAGTATTTTAACTGAACTGTCACTTGTGAATCATTCTCAGTGATAACAACACTGCTGAAATATATTTGTTCATCTCTCTTCATTTACACAATGGATTTAAGATCACATTTCTTCTAATAAATTACCTAAAATAGCTAGTGAAGATAATTTGATATCTTACTGCATAATATTGTATGTCCTATAAAGCTTCAGAAATCAATGCTGTCTAATGCACGGGGAGAGGCCGTGGCTCAGTGGTAGAGCATCTGCTTGGCATGCAGAAGGTCCCAGGTTCAGTCCCTGGCATCTCCAGTTAAGAGGCTCAGGTGACCTCTGCTGAAGACCTTGGAGAACCACTGCCGGACTGAATAGACAAGATTGACCTTGATAGACCAATCATCTGATTGAGTGTAAGGCGGCTTCATGTGTTAACCTAGAAGACTCAGGACCAAGATGGTCCAATTGCACAAGCCATCCCAAGGCAACATTTCAGTTTGCATGAGTTGGTTTGTACAATCAGATTAGCTTTCAGTGTTTTGAAAATTTTCTCCGCTGATTTTTTCCTATATTTGGGGTTCTGGATCACCTGGTCTTGTTTCCAAAGTGGAACTGATGCATTAGGAACTATTTTTTTTTTGTCTGAATTTTGAAACAAGTAAATGTCACAGCATTTATATCTCCCCCACCTCTAATGACAGATTTGTCCATTGGCATTGAATGGGTTACCAAGAGTCTTCTTATGCTGTTATATCAATGTGCAGAAGTATCTCAAAATCATCATAGATACTATCACATCAAGATTGATTTTTTGCAGTTTTATTTTTTTTTAAACCAGAGCAAACATACACATTGGTAACACAGAGGAGAAAAAAGATGCAAATGAATTGTGGGAACTGGAAGCTGCAGCAAAATTAGAGTTGCCAACTCTGGGTTCGGAAATTCCTGGATATTTTGGGGGTGGAGTCTGGGGAACTTGGGGGTTTGTGGAGTGAAGGGAGCTCAGTGGAGTATAATGTCATAGAATTCACCCTCCAGGCCCCATCTGGAGGATGGCAACCCTAAGCAAAATGTACGTGCAGCTGGAAAATTTAAGAAATTATCCTATTTTAAACAGAATAAAGGAAGGATAGACTGCAGCACAGAGCAAACTTCTAGAATAGAACGGAATAGATAAAAATTGCTCATCCCAGATTCTTTCAAACAACCTTTCCTGCAGTTCCAAATTGGCTTTAAAGCACTGAGTGAAAGCGAGAGAAATCCCTGTGCAGATGTGTGTTTATATACTGGCTGTATCAGCAAATAAGCATTTCAGATGAGAGAATACCCACTGCTGTGCTAATGTAATATATTACATAAAATGCCACATAGAATGCACTGTAAGCAATGAAGCCAGCACAAATGTTTGTAGCCAAAGCATTATGTATGTGAAAAAGCATTAATAATAGAAGTTTATTAATTAAATATTCATTTGAAATAAACTGTTTCAATTGGATAACTACCTCTAAATCAGTTAAATGCTCTAATCAAAAATAATGTTTCAGTCTGCAGAACTGGAATTAGCTGTCCCCCCACAATTATTTGGTTTTTGTGTTTCTAAAATCTTTAATCATCAGTAATTAATACTATATATGTTAGTGTACAGCAAGACCCTATAAAAGTGGGAATTATTTTTATCTTCCAGCCCTAAAGCACCAAACCCCATCTTTTCTTTAGAATAAAGCATCTCTGCTAAAGAACAAAGTAGGACCCTCTCTTTAATATAATAAGCTTTAAGTTTAGCTGCAAGCAAGCATCACCCATCCAGGCTACAATAGTAATTACCTATTTTCGTACTCCCTGTTTGCCTTTCTGGATGAAAAAGGCATTATATGAGAATATAGAGTTTTATTTTTATTTTTTTTGTAGAACCATTAGAACTTTGAGATATACCATAAGGTACTGGAGACACACCAGTCTGTATAAAAGGCGATACTGGACTATAATAGAAAGAGCATTTGATTTGAAATTAAAACCAGTGGTTCTGATATAGATGGGAAGGGTGGTGGGAATGGGAAGGGATAGACATATGAAAGGAGTAGGTGGTAGGAGTGAAGCAAGCTTTGGGATATACAGGAATATAGATTCACATGATGTTGTATTTGACATGGACTATTCTGGTTTGTGTCATTACCCTGTTTTTAAATTTGAAGTGGCTACAGAATATTGCAGGGATTTAGGTATACCAACACTTAATAAACCTGTAGAAAAACTGCTGAGAGTATTAACTCAGTCTCACATATACATATTACATATCTTGGATTGGAGAGTTTCACATGAGGATTGTGGTGGTGTGTCCAGATCATTTAAATGAACCTGAAATTTTTTTTGAACTCCAGAAATTAATGCAGCTGCCTTAATTCTAGTATTCACATATCTGAAAAAGTGCTCTCACACATGAGCATCCACAAAACATGCTTGATTTTAGGTCCCTTCTGTCTTTGATGAGCTTCTCTAGTCTCTCTCTCTTTCTAAAATGAAACTGGATTTGGCATGCAAGGAGCTTGAGGCCTGCTTGTAAGCAATGCATCCATCAGGAACATGTACCTTGAAAGCAGTGTAGGCCATATTTTCGTGAATCCTCTAACATTAGTTATAAGATAAAACTGGAGAAGGTAGCAATGCAGGGAAACATCATAATAGGAGCAATGCTCAGAAAATTGCACTAATGTGGTAAGTACAAGCAATTTCCAGTGACCTTGGCATAAATAAAGTCCTTAAGCCATGAGGGAATCAGAGACAACATGTTTCCCAGGCCTACTGATAAGGCCATTAGTGGTGTATAAAAATCACATAAAATGGCTTCCTCTTAGGGAAAAAACAAAAGCTTGTAGAGAACAATCTGAGCAAGTAGGAATCTAGAACATAATTTTTTGGGAGGCTTTGTTAATTCCCTCAAAGAACAAAGAGACTTAAAATCAAGGTTAACTTGACAACACCAAATTCAATACCAAACAGCTATCATGATGAGAACAGTGGCAATGATGAGGTTAGTCACCACAGAGAAAGAAAGAGACAACTATCAGACAAAGCATGGGGTATTCATGCCAAAGTCTTACGTACCGCTGACGAGTCGACAGGCAGCTGAATACAGCTTAACTGCCTACTCGCTGCTTCCCGTTTGGTGATTTCCTGAAGTAAAAATGAGGAAGGAGGATGGGGAAGAGGAATGGGAAGGAAGGAAGGAAGGAAGGAAGGAAGGAAGGAAGGAAGGAAGGAAGGAAGGAAGGAAGGAGGGTTTTCAGGTTTTATAAATTTTAACATCAAAGCTGAGAGTGGATCAAAGGAAAAAAGTATTGATACAGGAAGATTAAATAAAAAAGAAAAAGGTGAAAGAAGGAGAAGTACACCTATTGGGTGTACTTGAGTAATCTGATGGCCCATATCTGCTCTTTGCAAACAAAAGATAGCTCATGCTGTTGAACACCCCTCATGGGTCAGTTTTGCTTACCTTTTAAGCTAAGTATACAGAAGAATGATTTTTATTTAGTGGTAATACTTTAACAAATTACTGGTGAATTACTGAAAACATATGTGCCTTTAATATGTATTGGGTTAACTCTGGTGAAGTATTTTTGCATCCAAAATGTGGAAAGAGAATTCTTGTTGATAGCGTTCCCAGTACAGACCTCTGACTCCCTCCTTACACTGTTCCTGGGGATCTCCTGTCCCCCAGAAACAGCATTTCAGAGGGCATTTTAGACTGCAGCAGGAGGCAAGAAATCACTACTGGATCAAAGCACAGACTGGGATCCAAAGAACAATTCAATTAATTCCACACATTCAAGGAGGGTTTTGCCTTGTGCTTCTCAAACAGCAGCACCCCCCTTCCCATCTCACTCAGGAAATTACTTTTGAAAATGATAGGACTTTCAAAAGCAGTTTGTAATGTGGCATAGGGGTCTATTGTCCAAGCTCCCAAGTGGGGAGCAGAAGGTCAAACATCTTGCTGGGCATAGTCAAGTCTTTAAACATGCTTAAAGCAACTCTGGATCTCGGCCATCTCTTTTTGTTCCAAGATTCTGTATTATGCTTATGCAGTCAACCAAGCAACAATGTTTGAAAGTCATAAAAGATGGATTATTGCACATTATTGATATTTGAGTAAAGGCCAAGTAAGGCACGTTTAAGGCACGTTTTTTAACATTTTAAAATATTAGCTCCTACACTTTTTGTTTCCGGCAAGGGCAAGCTAAATACCCATAATGACTTTTATCTGTTCCATTTCAAAGTGAACCATCATATTTACAAAGTGTATAAGAACTAGGTGACATTTTAAAAGTATATTTTTAAAAAAGTGTATTTAAAAAATCCAGCCAAGCAACCCAGTTTGATCTTTGGCTTGTGTTCAGTTTCTCCTGTGGTGTTAATGGACACAGGGATACGAAAAAAGAGACTGAGAATCCTTACAGGGTTCTACAATATGCTTCTAGAGTACTTGGGGAGGAAAGTGTGGGTGGAGCTGCAAAAGTAGCAGCTTATTGGCCATTCAAATGGAATATCATTTGCTGTGTTACTAACAGGAAAAAGTTACTCTCTAAATTATACCATTAATTGAAAGCATTATGAACATAATTCAAAGATGCCAGAAAACAGTAAGACCCTTTAAGTCTTACATTGCCATCCTAAGTAAAGTTATATACCCTTCTAAGCCCATGACTTTAATGAACTTAGAAATGTACATGTTTGGGTCTGCAATATTCACAATGGGGAATTCCTCTCCCTTCTCGCCAGGCTTAGGGGCTGCCCTGAACTCCTGGGTTGCACTGCTCATGTGGCATACCCCACACAGCTTCCAGGCTGCACTGCCACTGCTAGGACCAGCTGGGCTCCCAAGACATGCCACCACTGCCAGGCTCCCAGGCTGCACCACTGCCAAAAATCCCAGTGGGGCTTCCAGGGTGTGTTGCTGCCAGGAGCATGCCCTGCTTGGCTCTCAGGCTGCGTGGCTGCCTGGCCCAGCATAACTCATGGACTGCAGCAACTACCTTACTTTTCTGGGGATTTAGCCCCCCCCCCGCCCCCATGTATTTCTTTAAAAGTTTCAGATTTTTCTGCAAAGCTGGGAAGTCCCCCACATTTACTTTATTTTTTTTTGTATAAAGATTTTATTGACTCCCCTAAAAAGGGGAGGAGTTTCGCTTAAAAAGAAAGATAAGGAGGGTATATAGTGGGAGGAAGAGAAAGCTGAGTGATGTATTAACTGTTAGATTAAACTGTTAGTAATGTCCAATCATCAAAGGCTTCTTCTGCGTGTTGTCAAACATCTTTTTTCCATTCCAGTTACTTTCTATGTTAATTTGTTAGTAATGTTCCTTTGAATTTCTGTTAAAAAGTCTCTTCAGGGCACATTCAAAACCGCTTCTTTAACGCGCTGGTTACTTTTCCCCTCTCAGTGACGGGAGGGGCT